GCCTATATTTAGTAAAAAATATTTATCTTCACCAGACTCAAATATTTTGTTTGTTCTTTAACCAGTCATTTTGTACATCCTCGTAATTTAATTCTGTTTTATTTATACAACATTAATTTACACCAAGACATGATACAAAATCCAATTTTAAGCAGGTTTATCAAACTAAGGGTACAAATGTGACCATGTTCAGTTGTAGTTTTAGCTTCTGGCACTTGCAGGGCTCCATACACCAGACAGCTGCACACAGTTCAGCTGTCATGTCATTTGCTTTAAAACAACAACTGAGTTTAAAAACTTCACCGCCAAAAGTTCTGCTGCTTCACAGCCTGGAACCAACAGAAACCAGCATCTGACTCCGGTAAGATCTTTATTACAAACACATTGTTTACTTTGTGTATTTTTAATATTTAGTCCAGATGTTTTATAAACATTAATCTAAATTATCTTCAGAGCTAAATATGATTCAGAGCTTAAATAATTCAGAAACCTCCTATTCTGCTCAGTAAAATGAGAGAAATAAAAAAAACTAAAACTCAAAGCAGACAAATACTATCTGAAAGCCAAAAGGCGCTGAAAGATAGAAGTAGCAAAAGGTTTGTTAAAAACTAGCCAAACATTAAGCTAAATAAAGAAAAAGGTTAGCTAAAAGATAAAAACTTTACCTAAAAAAAAATCAAAATTAACAAAAGGCTTGCTAAAAGCTAAAAATATCAAAACATTAGCTAGAAGTTAACATAGCAAAATGCGTGCTAAAACCAGCAAAATGTTTGCTAAATGAAAAAAAAGTCTAGCTAAAAGCTAAATTTGCAAACTTATAGCTAAAAACCAAAAGTAACAAAAAGGCTTGCAAAAATCTAAAAGCAGCAAAAAATAACTAAAATGTAGAAGTAGCAAAACGTTAGCTAAATGTATTTGAAAATTTGATTATACTAAAAGTAGCAAAAGGATTGCTTCAAACTACAAACGTTAGCAAAAAGCAAACAAAGCTAAAAGCTAACTAAAAGCTTAARGGCTTACTAAAAACTACAAGTAACAAAACATAAAATAGAAGCTGAATCTATCAAAAACCTAGCTCAAAGTTAAAAGTACCAAAACATTACCTAAAAGGTAGAAGTAGCAAAAAGCTTGCTACAAGCTAAAAAGTGTCAAAACATTAGTTAGAAGCTTAACACAGCAAAAGGATAGCCAAAASAGCAAAACGATGGCTAAATCCAACAAAAAACTAAATAAAAGCTGAAGTGGCAAAATGCTAACTATAAGCGAAAAGTAGCAAAAGGCATCCTAAGAATGTAGCAGAACATTAGCTAAAAGCAACATATCGTAAAGGGTCCAGCTAAAAGCTAAATCATTAGCTAAAAGTACCAAAAATTATCTAAATCTCAAAGTAATYATAGGTTTGCTTCAAGCAAGATATTTAAACATTAGTGAGAAGCAAACATAGCAAGAGGTTAGCTAAGAACAGACAAAGTTTGGCTAAATACAACAAAAGGGTAGCTAAAAGCTAATCGTAGCATAACAGTAGCTGGAAGCTAAACTTAGCAATAGAAGACAAGGCCAGAGGTAGTCTGCTGAAGCAGATTTAAAAGAAAAGGAATGTTTTTTTATATACAATTTCTGAAATATCCACTTATTTCTCAGGGTAAATGTCTTTTAAACAAAGTTTTTGAAAAGTATAAAATTGTAGAAAATTAAAGTTATAGGACCCATCTAAAATGAGCTAAACGTTCTGATTTATAGACAGCTAAATTAGCTCAAATGTTAGATTACAAGAAGACAAAGGAAAAAAATTAAACAGGAAACAATAACATAAATTTAGAATAAAACCAAAAAAAAAGTTTTTAAATTAAATTTAAAATGAACGTGATGTGGAGGCTGGTCCGTTACGCTGCAGTCGAACGAGCATGAAGCTCAGCAACAGCTGGGATAATCATTACCTCAAACGTCAACTTTAGCTGATGGAGACTTATGATGATGACGAGCGTCCCRTGTGGTCCGAACGGCGTCGCTCTTTTGGGATAAAAAATGTGGCGTTCAGGCCGTATTAGAGGCGCTCCATTCATTCTGTTGGTGCAGCTGTGAGGGAGAGACGAGCGGAAGTCAAGTTCAGAGTGACGGGTGAGAGAGGGTGAGAGAGGGTGAGAGAGGGTGAGAGCCGAAGACACTCAGAGACTGATGTTTAGTTAGAAGGAAAACATTTGGACCACAACACCAGCTAATGGATACTGTTACAACAGCAGCAGAGTATTTAGGCAACAAGTTCACTAATGAGACTGAAACTCTGCCATGGATAAAGGTAAGAAACTAGTTTGATTTTACTTTGATTCACAAAAAAAATGTTTCCTCTGTTTGAAAGAGAAACAAGTTTGTGGATAAATATTCACTTCCTTTAGTTAATAAGTTGGGGATCATTAATCGAGACGTTTCTGTGTTCATTCCTCATGAATTCCTGTTTTCTATTCTAACATCACAGCAAAGTTTCCAAATATCTTCTCTCAAACCCTAATCCACCCACCAGCTTAAACTGCAGGTCTTTTGCACGAAAAAAAACTGTAAAAAGGTGCTGCAGAAAAAAAAGTTATTTCTGAGCAAAATGATGAGCTAATGGCTAGTCTAAATAGGGCCTGGAATAACTGTAAAACATTTAGCTATGGTTTAGCTGCTTTTAGTTTCTGGCTATCATTTGGCTACATTTAAATTTAATTTTGTTACTTTTAGCACCTTTTTAGCTTTTGCCTGGGATTCTGCTTCTTTTAGAGTTTTGCTTGTTTTTCCTAATTTTAGCTGCAACTTTTTTGTAGTTTGAGCTGCTGTTCCATAGTTTAAAACGTTTAGCCACTGTTTTGCTGCTTTTACTTTTTAGGTATCATTTTGTTACTTTGAACTTTTCACTAATTTAGCTTTAGCGTCTACATTGCTATGTGTAGCAACTACCTTTTTCATTAAAGAATGTGTTACAGTTATCACTTTGTACTTTTAGGTACTTTTTAGTTGTTTTTTTTTAGCAATTCTGCTTTATTTAAACTAGTTTTACTTGTTTTCCTAATTTTAGCTACCATTATTTAACATTTGAGTTGCTGTTACCATGCTTTAAATGTTTAGCTACTGTTTTACTGCTTTTAGCTTCTAGCTATCATTTAGCTACTTTTAACATTTCGCAAATTTTAGCTACTGTTTTGAGAATTTAGCTTTACACTGCTACATGTAGCAGATGTTTTTCTCACTGAAACGTAACATGCAAAGATTTTATCGCTTTRTTACTTTTAGCTACTTTTAAGCTTTTACCTGCAGTTCTGCTTCTTTTAGCCACAGGTTTTTGCTAATTTGAACTTCTTTTTCTGATTTTTGCTACCATTATTTCTAATTTGAGCTGCTGTTCTTCTGTTGTAAACATTTAGCTACAATTTTGCTGCTTTAGCTTCCAGCTATCAGGTTGCTACTTTGAACTTTTCACTAATTTTAGCTTTAGCATCTACATTGCTACATGTAGCAACTACTTTTTTTCACGTGTTACCCAAAAATTTTGTACTTTTAGCCACTTTTTAGTCTTTTTTTTTTTTGCAATTCTGCTTTTTTTAAACTGGTTTTACTTGTTTTCCTAATTTTAGCTACCATTATTTCACATTTGAGTTGCTGTTACCATGCTTTAAATGTTTAGCTACTGTTTTGCTGCTTTTAGCTTCCAGCTATCAAGTTGCTACTTTTAACTTCCTTTTAATTGATTTCTGTTCCTGTTTTGTAATTTTAGCTTTAGCACATACTTTGCTACTTTTAGCTACGGTTTTGGTCATTTGCGCTACTGTCCTGCTGCTTTTAGCTACCATTTTGCTGCTTGTAGCACCTAGCTACAATTCTGCAGGGTTTAGCATGTTGAGTTCATTTTATCAAGTTTTAGCTTCTTCTTGTTTGAACTTTAACCCAGATTTAGATTCTTAAATTTCAGCAGTCCTCTCTCATCGCCTCACTTAAAAAGAGCTGAGCTGAAAAAAGAGCCGAGTCTGGTCCCGTTTGGACCACATGTCAACGAGACAAATGATGACAGCAGCCGCAGATCTGGGAAACGAGCAAAGCTCTGTCTTGGAGGACAGTGAACTTTGAGACGTTGGACTCAGAGACATGTGAAACTATGTGGAGCATGTTAGTCACTCCACGGGTCAAAAGTTGGCCTCCTATGAGGACGAAGTGGCAGAAGAAGAAGAAGAAGAAGAAGAGCTTTGGGAAAGAAAGAGGAGGAGAGTAATTTGATCATGGACTAAAAGACCACAGAGTGAAACATTAAACAGCTTGAGGAAGCTGCACCATTTCAGACTCGAGGGGATTTCAGAAACTAAATTTTAATGTAAAACCTCCATAATGTGGTTGATAAAAACAAAACGACGTGTTGAGATAATGTAACAAAAACGACAAAGATAAAAACTTTGCTCACAGGTGCTTTTCTGTCTCCTTTGCAGGTGTGCAGAGATCATGGAGGACGTTAAGAACATCTATTCCACCATCAACAGGTTTGTACGGAGGMCCAGAGGTGCCAAAACTAAAGGAAAAACACCAACTAGGATAAAGTTTTAATCTATTCACATTCAACATGTTGGAGACGACTCTCAGCTACTATCACACCAAATTTCAGCTCAATGGGCCTCATGCAAGAACATGTTTGTATTCTTATCCTAAATTTCTCTTACTTTTGTTCGTACAAAGGGTTCGTACGAACATGTCACGTCAGATTCAATAAACTCTTCTATCTTCAGGAAAAG